AAAAAAAAAAAAAAAAAAAAAAAAAAAAAAAAAAAAAAAAAAAAAAAAAAAAAAAAAAAGGAATATGACAAATTACACTCCTACCAACTGTGAAATTCGCAAACAATCAAATGTAATTCTGACTTCATCAATTATAAATTCCAAAGATAACAAAATCAAAGGGATGATAATAAGTTACACCACTCCTACGTTCCACCAGGAGCCGAAAGCACGAAAAAAAAAATGAGCTGACGGGGGAGGGTAAGACCGGATCAAGTGGACGATAATGAAGTTGAACAAGAAGGCAAACAGCGAGGCTGAGGACCACACATTGCAAATTTGATGGATTGAGCTATTAAATCAAATACACGTTATCGAACTTCAATTTCCTCCCCATGATCCTCATTGGACCGCGCGTAAAATCTAGAATATTATCGATAAACATCTTCTACCACGAAAGGAAATGAAATTGAAACAATTCGCAGTACACAATCCACAGTACAGCAAATGCTACAGTCAAACAAAAAGGAAGGAGGATGATAAAACAAAAAAGAGACTCACAGGAGACGCTGTGGACAATCCTGCCATGCGCCAAAACATGGTGAATTGAGGGGAAAAGATTGCCAAGCAAAACTCAGATCTACAAACCCAGAAATCGAACCGCCTGGACGACCCTCCGGCCGAAAACGCTCAAGAAAACACCTAGACCACACAAAAAACAATGATCCAGAGTAGCCTCAACGAAACCCTAGAAGTTGAATCTGTAAGTGCATGGATTCGAAGAAGCAGAGCTGGATCGAAACGAGAGTTGGAGGAGCAAAGCAAGCATAGAATAAGATGAGAATTGAGGAGAAGCACAAATAATAACCTGAAATCGTGGGAATGTGATAGGATTTGATGAAAAAAATGTGCTTTTCTTTTCCCTTCGGTTTTAAGTCGACCGTACACATTTTATACTTAATTAAACTTTCACATTTTTTTTCCTTTATTTGTATTTAAATTTTTGTTTCTATAAAAAAAAATAATAATAAATTTTAAATTAATTCCCGATCTATTTTTAATTATAACAAAAAAATAATGAACCATACTTTGCTTATTAAAAAATTTAAATTAAAAAAAAAAAAAACAGTGATTTTAATGTTTCCATTTACCCTACAATGAGCAAAGCATAATAATTGTTGTTGATATTTTTGGCATTAAATGTCTTGCTTTCTTTATACACACAAAGCCCAACAAACTCGCAGATATTGCCAAGGAACAAGTGGATAATTTCCAATTATTTTGGACGCTGTTTTATTTCTTTTATGCTTTTTCTTTCTCTTTTTCTTCGTGATTTCGACTCAGATGACATAACAATATGTTTATACGAACTTAATTTTAAGATGAAAATTTAATCGTTCATATATTTTTCAATATTTTTAATTAATTGGTGCGATGAGAAAGTCAACACATCGAGCGTTAATAGTTATTTAAAGTTTACCAATAATTGATTATACATATTGATTTTATATGACGACTATTAGAGTTATAATTCAAAGTATATAGTAAGTCTCCTCGTCAAGTGAATATAGGTTCAAGAAAGATCGAAGGTCGATTATCGACTAGTTTAATAAATTGAAATTAACTATAAAAATAATGCTCAACTCGATCTATTTGTGATTCTAACCTATAATCATATATCACAGACTACGTCTTACTTATATGACCGGTTAAACGTATGGGTGCGTGTTAGTTTACTTATAAAATTAATTAATCGAACTAAAGAAACTAACATCTGTTTCTCCTGCAGAAGGAGACGTGTAATATGTAAAACCTCAATTAAAAACGTATAATCATGAAGAAAAAAAACGTTAAAGTTATAATATTTATGACCTTTTAAAAAGTAGGTACAAAAAAAAAAAAGAGCGGTTGAGATTTTTTAAAATAACGTTAAAAACTCGATACATAAATTGATTAAATGAAACTCAAGGGCTCATGCTAAATATGTAATTAATTAAATTTAATGGATCTTATTCAATTATACATAGTTAAACAATATAGAGGTTGCATTATACACGAACATTTATTTATTTTTTAAAATTTTAAATATGTTCGATATTATAAACTATAAAATAAAAAATTTAAAGAAGTTCGGCGACCCAAAATATTAATTTGTGCCTCAATTTTTAGTGTTACCCAAACCCCTAATTTCGGAGTACTCGCTGAATTTGCCGACCACCGTCATCTGGAAAACTTGTTCTTCGATTCTGTTTCCATGTTGAAAATTCCGATGTTCTAAGAGATTCCAAGAAGGGAAGACAAAGCTACACATACGATATGCTGGGTGGATTGTACGGAGACCTCCCTCCGCCCTCTTCGGCGGAGGAAGATAAGCCCGCCAATTCTACCGTCTGGTCGAGCAGCACAAAAATGGCGCCACCGACTCTACGCAAGCCATCGTCCGTTTTCGCGCCACAGACTGTTCTCAGATCTCAAAGCAAAATCAAAGCTGCCAACTTGGCGCACTCGAAGGCTTCAGTGTCCGAGCCGGTGGAGCAGTCTCTGCCGATTCTGGCTGAGGCTATTACGCAACCGGCGTTGGTGGCCGTGACGTCTTCGGTTGTAGAAGAGTATGATCCAGCGAGGCCGAATGACTACGAGGAGTATCGGGCGGAGAAGAACAGGAAGGCCAAGGAGGCTGAGATGAGAAAGGAGCTCGAGAGACGTAGACAAGAGGAGGAAGAGAGGGAGAAGAAGGAGCGAGAGGAGCGAGATAGAGAGTATTCCGATTCTAGGATAAATATTTCAGGCGAGGAAGCTTGGAGAAGGCGCGCGGCGAAGAGTGGGGCAATACCAAGATCACCATCGCCACCAAGTAGCGGAGACGGATTTACCATTGGAAAGTCGGAAACTGGCGGGTTGGGAGTTGGTGCTGGTGGGCAGATGACAGCGGCTCAAAGAATGATGGCTAAGATGGGGTGGAAGGAGGGGCAAGGGCTCGGGAAGCAAGAACAAGGTATCACCACCCCTCTGATGGCAAAAAAGACAGACCTGCGTGCTGGAGTAATCGTGAACGCTAATGATACGAAATCAGAGAAGAAGGTGAAGAGTGTCAACTTCAACGGACAACCTACTCGGGTTCTCCTGCTCAGAAACATGGTACGACGTTGTAGAATTCTGACATTTTGATGATTTGAAATGAATTTTAGGTAGCGGAGTTTGTTTTCGGTGCATTAGAATTTTAGTAGTTCTTTCCCGTTTGTCAGATTTCCATTAAACTTCAGAAATTCTTGGTTAGATAGGAGCAATCTAGACAGGTTTAACGCAACCAATCATATCATTCTCTCATAGTTGCGGTTGAAAGATAAAAGTCTCACATCGGATAATTTAGGGAATGATCATTGGTTTATAAACAAAGAACACTCTCTTCATTGGTATGAGGCCTTTTGGGGAAGCCCAAAGCAAAGCCATGAGAGCTTATGCTCAAAGTGGACAATATCATACCATTGTGGAGAGTCGTGTTCATCTAACATGGTATCAGAGTCCTGACCTAAACTTAGTTGTGCTTGGTAAATCCTCAAATGTCGAACAAAGGACTCCAAAAGAAAAGGAGTCAGGCCTCCTCGAAGACAGTGAAAAATGACTAAGACTCCAAAGGAGTCGAGTCTCGATTAAGGGGAGGTGTACTTTGTTTGAGGGGAGGTGTTGGATGATGAAAGTCCCACATCGGCTAATTTAGGGAATGATCATGGGTTTATAAACAAAGAATACTCTCTCTATTGGTATGAGACCTTTTGGGGAAGCCCAAAGCAAAGCCATGAGAGCTTATGCTCAAAGTGGACAATATCATACCATTGTGGAGAGTCGTGTTCATCTAACAGTTGCAAATTCCATTATTAGCACGCTATTCTTCTGTTAATCCATCATTAAAATGCATGCACTTGAGAATTTGTTTGATTGTCCATATTGTGATGAAAGTTCGATTCCTAATCCTAACCTTGGTATCTTTAGCTGCTTGCCCATTGGTGTACGCTTATCCAGTTTTCATGTTAGACTACGAAGGCGGAAGGATTGTTAGTTAGATAGTATTGTCGCTGTCAGCGCCAGATGGCATTTTTTATCAGCTAACTGCTCAACCAGTTCTTTATAAATCGTTGTTATCCGAAAGTTTTCTTTCCCTGTACTACTGAGTGCTAATCAGAAGGAATAAGATATGGACTAAAAAACCCTTAGTTGCAATTTGCATATAGAGTTCTTCTTGTTTGGAAAATTTTAGAGGGAAAAACATTAAATCATAGATTATTAGTCTATCTGGAAACAAATTAAAAGGCAGAGAACGTACAAACCTTTACTCGCGTGATTTTGTATAGAGATGCCTTCATCAATGTTACATCTTTTGCTAGATCATTTTAGGTTTTAAGTTTATTATATACCATATCAGAGATTAAAAATCTACCCCGAGGGAGGTGAGGGGGGGTGGGGAGGAGGATGAAGGTCTATATAGCATGTTCTAGGGGTTGTACGAATATCAAGGCATACCATATTTGGTTTTCTGATTTTATTGTATTTGATTCATTGTTATATTAAGTTGACGAATGTCATCTTACTGGTTGGATATAAAGTATTAGTTAATGACGCTACTTGAAATATATGGAAAGTCATTTTTATGGGTTTACCTCATTTCCTCAATTTGTTAGTTTTGGCATGGGACTAATATTTGAATGTCAATTTTCCCCGTCAAATGCATTTATCTTGTCTCTACAATGTGCCGCTTACTCAAGATGTCTTTTTGGCCTGTCTTTCCTCTCTAATATGCATCATTGGGTTCTCTTCAATGATAGAGCTGCTAATGATTTGGCTCCTCTTCCATCTATTATCAAGGGTGTGAGTTTAATCCATGGATTTTAGGCATCTGATCTGCTTCCTAGATCCTCTTGGTTACTTTTCTTGTAATTCATTTTTGCATCATTTACTTGCAACAATTGCAACGTCTCCTCCCCTCTTGATACCAAGTTTTGAAAGTTCAACACTTTAGAGAGGTTTAAGATTTCTCTCTTGGCTTGTCTCTTTTGGTTGTGGCCCATGTAGATGTGTTTTATGCACCTGGGTATTGGAGGATTTGAGACGTATTCTTTTGTCAAGTATGCACTGTTTAGCTTCTTGCTGGCTTCCTGTGGAGTTTTTCGTTGAACTTTGTTCTTTCTTTTAATTTCTTGATGAAAAATGAGTTCCTTGTTAAAAAGAAAAAGAAAAAAAAATTGTGTGTTTATGATGGAGGAGATCTTCAGCATCTTTTATTATGTGTTTATGATGGAGGAGATCTTCAGCATCTTTTATTATGTGTTTATAATGGAGGAGATCTTCAGCATCTTTTATTTAAACTGAGGGAAAGTTCTTCAGTTGGTTTATCTCTTTCTATCTCTCATTGGAGTTTATGGTTTGAGAAGGGGATGAGGGTTCATAACCAAGGGGAGAAAGGTGACAATTTCCTGTGGGGGAAGTGAGGGAGAAATTCTTAGCCGTTAGCTAACTGGAATATTGCTACTGGCCTCTAGAAGATGGAAGGTTGGAATTAGGCAACTTAAGGAAGAGAAGTGAGGCAATACTACAGAGAAGCTCTGGAGATATGCTAAAGAAAGTTATGAGATGTGCAGTGAGCTGGTTATGAACAAATATGGACGTGAAGAAGGAAGAAAATAGGAAGTTTCCTCTAGAAATGAAATTTGGTTGTTTTCAAAGCCTTTCGGGGTGACGCTATCAATTTCTGAGCAAAAAAGCTGGGAAGCTTAGAAGGAACTTCTCTCTAGGCTGATGTTACGAAGCCATTGTTTAGGGATTATGAACTCAAAGAAATTGAATATTATTAGGAATAGATTAGTTCAAAGAAATAGGGGTTAGGGCTTAGAGTTGGGATCTATCAGAACTGCATAATTCTTGTTCTAACCATGCTTCCG